AAATAAGTACAAACGTAGCCATTCACAACACGGGTGGCGCACACTCACCCCTATGAATACACACACCCTATATGAGTACTTTTGAAAAACTGAACCGATATATTTTAAAATTAATGCAGTTATCATGGACGTCTCATTATCGATGAGTACATCACTTATCACTGAAAGACCCGATTTAGAAAGTACAAATGTTAAAGTGGTATATTCGGTCAGTGCGAATTTGTGTGACCATTTTCACAAATATTCATGCCATGTCTTTTATGCTCCCATTTTTGCTAGGGATTTTCTTTCTTTTCGAGATGTTACATCATATCTCCCCTCGTCTTTCTTTTCTTCCTCAACAATGAGCCATGTCTTTGTTGCCTCTTTCACATTTTTAATGTGGTTGACAAAGAGGTGTGAGCACCCAACCACATGTTTCTCACCACCAAAATGATGTGGCTCAGTCGTCGTCACTGTCACCGGCAATGAAAAAACTCAACCGCTGAAGGAAAGATTATCTGATGAGGACACAACTAGCTCGAATATAACCATAACTACCTTATGTATTAATCAACAGAAGGTGCATATGTTCTACATTAGATTTACATGTTATATATTTGAAAAAACGTTGCTACACAATGAGTTTCATGTGTTTTTATTTGCAAAGATACTTGCTTGGGAGAAGGAAAAAAGACCGAGCGTAACGAATTCATAGATGATAAAGAAGTTGATTGGGGACCATATCAAGACCCTCTCCAAGTCCACTTCCATCTCATCACGTCACTTTTGGTCCATAGAAGACAAGAGATAAAGTTCTACACGTTTTGGATTCGGATTCGAGCCTCCTGACAGCATCAACTTCAAACGGACCTAGCCGCTGATCTAGAAGGAATTTCGGGGCCCATGAGTACTTGTTGGAAAGCTTATGGAGTCTACTTTCAGATGGTTTTGGTCCCACGTCAAAATTCCTACCGAGCTGCTGGGAATCTGCAAAACAAGCCACGTATCTCATCCAGTCCGAATCTGACTCGGGTTTTGGGCCTTGTAATTTTGTCGTGGGCTTAGCCCAAGGGGGTGTGCGCCCTAGGGCAACCCTAGGACGTCCCTAATCATATTAATTCAGTAGCCGTCATCGTTTAGAGTTGGGTTTTGCTTAGATTATTCTGTCAAGAACAGTTTCGCCGCTAGATCGGTTTGTGGAACCCCAAATTCGAGTGCTTAATCATTCATATGCAATTTGGTTGCAATCTATCTTGTTCTTGCTTGTGTTTTTCGATTCACATGCAGGGATTAGCCTTCTCGGCGAGGTCAACCAGGTTTCGGCACGGTTGATAACCAGAGGAGACGTGGTGCTGCGATTGCGAGGCTCAGTAGCGTGTTCGTTCAGAAGTCGGATCGAGTTATGTCACCACTCCGTCCAAATCGACTGTTTATCAATACCTATCGGAAAATCGGGACCTACCTCCCTCGTCACTATCCCTACGGTTTTTCATTAAGAAGAAGAAGAAGTCTCAACTAAAATGAGGGATGAGGCAACATCGAGGAAGAGGATGCCCCTAGGTTCCTCCTTCGTTGTAGACATCGAGATTGTGTGCTGCTGAGGGCAACCAAATCTATGATGGTTCATTAATATTGTTAGTTAATAAGTGTGGCTTATGTAGAATTTGTTAACTTAAAATTGTTGTAATTCTGACATATTTAGATGAACACTCATATTATTAGTGTAGAAATAACTATAATGACTGATTAGTATGTACATGTACAAATATGCTGATGATATAATTATGACCGACCACATATGCACACTGGTTTGCGCTTTGCAGTGGTGGAGAAAGGAGGGGCAACCAAGGGTTCAAGACGTTCAGCCTCCCTGAATTTCTCATAATTTGCAGCTTGAATGAAGTTTTATAAGATCAATATCACTGGTCTCCTTCAACAATTCTTTTTTTAAGGCATAATTTGCTACATGACACTTAAATTTTATGTTATTTGCTGGTAGTCATAAAAATGTGTCACGGCTAAAAGACACTCTAAAAACTAGTAATTTGCTGGATGACACTTTCAGTTTAATTGAAAAGATAAATTCTTCAAAAAGACAAGAATGCCCCTAGGGTCAAAAGCTTTTGAGCTGAAACTAGAGTGAAGATGGAATATAATGTATGCTAATGATGTACTTAGGGTGATGGCAAATTTAGAGTTACATAATTTCTAAATTTTACTTTAACGTCATATTTGAGCATGTGGTCTTAGAGCATTCTCGTCTTTATTAAGAATTTATCAATCTAATTGAACCGAAAATATCCTCTTGTAAATACCAATTTTTTAGGATGTCTTTTAGCCGTGACATGTTTGTTCGATGTTTATTAGCAAATTGCATAAAATTTAGATGTCCTATAGCAAAATTTGCCTTTTTTTTAAAAAAAAAGTTTTCTGGCTCTGCTGCTACCAGCTTGTCTATACTGTGTGCTATGTGCTTTATTATTAGCTAGTACACTTCAGAATTGACCAGACTACTACAGTATCTCTTTCTTTACAATTTACTAGTAGGTAGGTAACCAATATAGGAGAAAAGCACAATCCTTTAAAAAAGTATAAACAATCATGCAGAAATCTCGTTAGCTACCAACAAATTAACCAGTACTAATAATCAATCTCACTAACCAACCGTTTCTTGGTCCCCATGCTCATGGCAACATCACCCCAACTGTGCCTGTGTACCATGCAAATCATATTTAGTATGACGTTTACCAAACCTTCTAGTCCAATTAAGGCACAAATAATATAATCAAGATGTTAATTAAGATCCAACTGCAAACTGCATTTCGTCATCAAACACGTAGTAGTCCGTGAGAGAAGCAAAAGCTGAACTTCTCGACGAAGTTGACGTGGCATTTATGCGAGGAAATTAAAGTCAATATTGATCATTGGATACTCACACGTGCTATAGATGCAGAGCAATGATTAGTATGACGCTAGCTAATCATCGTATATTTGAACATGGCACTAATCTCGACTAATTTGTCAATCAGTTTCTTATTACCATCCCAAATCCAATTCTCAAAGAGCGAGGGTCTCGAATAAGAAAGAAACATGAAAACCGAGTTATGAATTTGCCCCCTGTTTCAATTGAAAATAAGAGGGAAACTCGCATTTCTTTTTTTTTTTCTAGTACAATGCGCGAACATTTACTTATGTGAATACACTAGTACACCTTAGCCCTACGAGCACATCCGACTGGTCCAGTATATCTTGAAATTAATCGTAAATATGAGCACTCGTGTCACTCACTTTGTGCTTTGTTTGCATTTTGAAACTGAACAGGTACCTTGATTGATTTTAACCTCATAAACTTGCTTGAATTAGATATTAAACGATCAAGGAATGTGCTCTCATTTGTTAGTTACGATCTAAACAATTATGAACCATTTTGAAAAAAAATAGATAACACAAATTATTGTGCAAGCTTTCTTTGAAGATAATAAGGCATACTTTGTTAATAATTAAAATTAAACCTGACCTCTCCATCTATCAGGAATGCAGAAAAAAAGGGAAGAATAGGTGCAAAAACCTAGGATAGGGATCACAATATCATGCCAAACGCCAAACACTCGAAGATTCCAACGATTGAATCTGTAGCATAAGTATATATGATGCGTACTGTAGAACAATGCCTTTAAGAAGAAAATAATTTTTGTCCACTGGTATCATTCAAAACAACCCAAATATCAATCGGTGCTAGATTTTCATCCATGTAAAAGTTAGAGACCACATTCAGCAACGAAACACCAAACATTTATCAGGCATTGTCAAACTAAATCAGGGTTTTCATGCTAGAGTTGAGTGCCAACATTATACAACCGTCCATGATAGGAGTTTGTGCCCTCGGCAAAAGGGCCACCATCTATCAGAGAAGAAACCACACACACAATAAATCGTGACCTCGAATTGTCGACTAATCTCTCCGATCACAACGAAAGAAACCACCCGCATAGTCCCTCTCGCATTATTATGTACTCCATAAGATATCCCTTCACAAGTACGCATGTTATTTTTATTTCTTCACGTGTAGATTAAATCTAACTATATATGTCTGTGTAAAGGGGCAGACAACGAGAGAGTACATGCTCTCTAGTCTCTAGGGATTAAAATAGTTAATACATGTCCCTCTGTTCATGTCATATTTTTTTCATGCCCACATTCAAACCTTGACAGCATAGCAACCCCCACCTCCAACAACACATCCACTTCTCTCCCTGTAAGAGCCATGCTTCCTATTGGAGGCTTGAATATTGTAAAATCAAATAAATTTGCACGCCTTTTCATTCGAGTCACGAGGAGCTGGATGAGAAGAAGCTCTCATGCATAGGTGGATCTAGGGGTGGTCCCGGAACCATTCAAATAAAATCCTAGCATAATGTATAATATACATATGTAAGAAAAACTTTTGAAACAAAGCTCTTTTATTAATATATTATATGATGCACATTTAATCAATTTATTTTTCTAACTTTGTTATATTTAGGATATTTAAAAAATATATATATGTTAGACCACCTATATAAAGATCCTAGATATGCCACTGCTCTCATGTTCGGTTCTATAGTAAGGATGAAAAAAAAGAAGAGAAACCATCGACTATAACCCCAAAATTAAAAACCACATTATTTCTTAACACACATATAGGAGAAATAAAGGGAAAAGCCTATCGAGGCAATCATATTTGTTTGATATTTTGTAATTATCATTTTTTATGTGAGTTATGTTATCAGTAAAAGTATTTTAAGCACGATTTATATCTCATGTATTTGCATACAGTTTTTAAGTAAGACGAATAGTCAAACATATGTCTAAAAGTCAACAGCGTCATCTATTCAAAAATAGAGGAGTATGTAGGTCGAAATTCGGCCTTTGTATCCACGAGTAGATATACACATGTAATTTGTTTGGTTGATATGTTATCCAAGCAGTCCTCGGCACATCCACTGAGATTAAATAGCGATCATCCATGCTTTCCAAAGTTGAAAAAAATCCCTTATCTTTATCCACGGTCAAAGTCCATATGAATGCAACAAGATGCGCACTAAGAAAAAAAGGATAACATCAGTAGCAAAAAGAAAGAAAGGGAGATCCACACTAACCGGACAATAATATGTACACCGAGCAGTCCATGATCACACTCACACACACACACACACACCCCACAACACCTTTAGCATCTGTTCCTTTTCTGTTTTTTTTTTCTTCTTTTCCTACACACCAAAAGTCAATCACCAACTAATTCTAAGCCGTTTCTGACGACAAGAAATATCAGATAAATATTCAGATTAGGCTACTACAGCTGCAGATGACAAGACTTCGTCAGGCTGGGAGAGACAGGAAGCCATTCATATCTTCACATCGCAGCTTCTCGTGTCAGTGCTCATTGCTCCCAATTAACCTGCAAACGCGATAGTAATCGATCCATCTCATTATCTCCTCCCTGAAAACATTAATTCTCTAAAATTCGCCTCCATCCATCTGCACTACTGTTTCATGGTGATTTGCATGCAATAATGCCGATCATCAAATGTTCAGAAGTCGATGATCTCGTCAGGTACGTCAGTCATAAACCTCGCCTTCTTCTGCCAAGGAATCAACACACAAGAGAAACCAAGTTCAGAACGAAAACATACATTTCAGAAAGATTAATTCAAAGCGCATGAATTTAAACATTCCACAGCATCTGCTTCTCCTCCTAGGTGTGTTTTGATTTGGTGTCAATTAGCTAGAGGGGATTAATTCGGATTGCTTTCGTTCGGACAAGGACGAATGGCTTTTGTGTGGTGTGTGCGCTGCTTTTGCAGCCTGTGCTTGAATCAGAAGCTATCCATGGATTTGGATCCCTTTCTGACCGGCCATGATTGTGTCCGTCAGGACAGAGGACGACTAACTGCACCGTTTGATCGATTCGACGGCCTAACCGACACTCCAATGCCGGCCATAAGCTGGTTTCATCGAGAGGAACTGTTGACCAGTTCAGATAAAGTTCAGATACGTTTACATTTCTTATGTGTGTATAGAACAAAAAAAGTTCAGACTTCAATTTTTCCCAAAAGAACACAGGACAGGGGAGCTTGTGATTTTTTTTCAACTACTCGTGAGAATATAGAAAATTTGAGTTTTCTACTTTCTATGTTCTGATTCATTTCTAGTTTTTATAACTATGAACTATTGAAATCTTGTTTAGAAGTTAGACTACTTTAGGAAGCTGAAGATTCTGAAAGAAGCCGCAAGTGTCTAAGGCCCTGTTTAGGGGAGCTTGTCCCAGCTGCAGCTTTTCCCAAAAGCTGCTTCTGTTAGAAGCTGCCTCAAACAGTCCACAGCTTTACAGATTCTGAAAAATGAACTAAGAAGCCAAAAGCTGGAGAAGCTGGGTTTCAGAGTTTTTTCAGATTGTCAGAAGCTGGCTACCAAACAGCCGCTTCTCAGAATCTAAAGCTCCCCCAAACAGGCCCTAAACCTCTTCTAACAACGCCATAGTATTTAAGCATAGATTCTAAAGTAGTTGCAGATAGACAACCCTGATGTTTTAGAAGTACATTGGAGTGTAATCTAACTTAGGTTTAGTTCCATCAACTTCATAAACACGAGAGGTCCAAGACCTGTCCCTCTAAATTAATCACTGTTCTAATGTATTCGTTAATGATACTGTACACAATTGACATTGGAGAATGGAGAATGCATTGACAGCTTCCACGTAGCAGCCAGCTACTAGCTGTACCTAGTACTACATGAAGTCCACTCTTGCAATTAAAACTCTCTCTAGAAAAAAAACCAACATGTCATGATCGATCGATTCGCGTAAACAACGTGGTTAATCAGTTTCAGTCTAATTAACCAAGTGCCAGAATCTAAGCACGTGTGATTAGTTGTATTAGTAGTACTAGTACTCAATTACATTAGACTTACTTGCTCATCATTTGACCTCAAATTACTCTTCCTAGCAACTCCTCTACATGCGAAATTTACCTATTTAAAGCAAGCACTCTTCTAAGTTGACCATTGCCATATTGACCTTTCTTTAGTAGGAACTCAACCACTTGATCAATGGAATATATAAAGTTATAAACATCTCAATGAACCATTAACTATGTTTTATCATCTTTTATATATTTTTTCCTGATCAGTTTAAACTTTTGCATGAATTGGTTAATACGTGAAGCACCTAACAACCTCATATGCAACAAGGTAGCACAGACACTACTCTGCACACTAGGGCTGTGTTCGGATGCCTGAGTTCCCAACTCTAACAGTGCGCACGAAAAACGGAGCGATCCATTAGCACGTGATTAATTAAGTATTAGCTAATTTATTTTTCAAAAATGGATCAATATGTTTTTTTAGGCAACTTACGTATAGAAACTTTTTATAAAAAACAATCCGTTTAACAGTTTGAAAAGCGTGCACGCGAAAAACAAGAGGAGAGTATTGGGAACTTGGAGTTCCGAACACAGCCTATGTCACTAGCAAGAAATTATAAGAGGACATTCCACTGTAATACTAATACTTTTTATTAGATCATCATAAAAATATTCATAATACTCCCCCATTTCAGATTATAAGTCATTTTGACTTTGGTCAAAGCTAAACTACTTTAAATTTAACTAAGTTTGTAGATAAATATAGTAATATTACAACACCAAATCAGTTTCATTAAGTCGATAATTAAATATATTTTCATAATGTTACTATTTTTTTCTATAATTTTGATTAAATTTGAAGTAGTTTAGCTTTCAACAGAGTCAAAACGACTTATAATATGAAACGGAGGGAGTAATGATTAGGTGGGTTTCAAAGCCCGCTTACATCCCTAAAAAAAGATTTACTAACTACTGCACTGATCTCTGAACATCAACGGCCAATATCATGATAATGACTTGACTTACTCCCTCTTAACTTTGGGAGTTGGAGATCATGATCAATATATGTATGACCCCTCCAATTATTTTCAAAGGCCTCATTTAAGTGCCACACCAAACTTGTTCACACAATATATGCTTCTAACTAACTAAACCAATTAAGCCCTTGCACATGGTCCTCCATTGACACATATGCATGTCCCCTTCATCCATATCACATGCATGGACACATCAACCCAACTATTCTAGGTCACCATGGATATCTCTTTTAATTTTCCCTTTGTTTCAAAACTGTTCATGAGACCATGTTTCAAACACAGGGTGAAGGAGAGGAGTAGGCAACTAGAAAGAAAAGCAAGTTCATTCACTTGTTGCATGCACAGCTCTGCACCACCTAAACCATGTGAAGGAGTAGTGAAATTCTGACACGAAGTGGATTTGGATTAGGGGAAGTCAACGAATCATGGACAACTCATTGCTAATTGTTGGAAAGTTGAAGTGATGGATTGAGATTGTTTTTTTTTATTTTTAATAATGGGATAGTGATTTGCACTTCCGATCCATGGAGTATACATGATCGAATAGAAAAAAAAAAATTCTGAATCATTGGTCTACGAGTATATTTACGGTGGTGACTACTGGTAGTATTAATAATAGCACCGGTATTACCACTAATAGGAACAATTATATCACTAGAGAACACCGTAAAAATTGTCAAGACGCGAGACATGACTTAAAGTAATCGTCATCCTCTTAACAACAAGCTATTAGTGTTTTCTAAACAGATTGCAGTTCTGATAGATCCTGTTATCTGCTATCATAGTCCTTTTTAGTACCACTGAGCTGAAAAAAAATATTTTCAATCTAAAAGTTGGTATAGTCAGGTTTAAAAATTTCAAGCTGAAAGTGCTCGGTGGTTAATCTACTAATGAACACTTCAATTACTTCAACTTCTGACCTGAAATTTTGATTCTTTAATTGTTCTTTTGCCGCTGAACTCATACATTTCGAAGAGGTTTCAGAGAGTATGAAACATGGCATTGTCGAAGATTTTTGAAAATTTCCGCCATTTTTGTGGTTTGAATTCGAAGCAGAGGAAACAGAGCAAAGGGTTAGAAAACAGAGAGAGTATGTTATATGCTGTTCCTTACCTGCTTCTTGTCGGCGACCTTCTTCTTGTCCGACGAGACGAGCGCCGCCGGCAGCGGCAGCGGCAGCGGCAGCGGCGGCGGGCGGCGGAGGACGGGGGTGGCCGGCGCGGAGCTGTGGTCCCTGTCGACGCAGAGCTGCATGATCTTCTCGGCGGCCTCGGCGGCGTCGCGGCTCTCCTTCACAAGCCGCGCCACCTCCGCCTTGGGCAGCCGCATCCGCAGCCGCACGGCGCCGCCCTCGCCGGCCTCCACCGACGACACCGGCGACGCCGCCACGTCCGACGCCGACCGCCGCGACAGCATCATGCTCTCCAACCTCTCCCCGGCGCCGCCGACATGGACAAGCGCGCCCGACCACGTCCGCCGCGGCGCGCGGGCGAGGCGAGGGAGCTCGACGAGGAAGTAGAGCTTGCCGGGCTTGAGCGGCGCGTCGGCGTCGAGCGGCCGCGCGCGCATCCCGAGGCGCCTGACCTCCTCCGACTCCAGGACCTGGTAGCCCGGGTGGTCGCGCAGCGCCGCCGCCGCCGACGCCGGCGGCCTGTACTTGTACGTCGTCCCGTCCACCGTCATCACCCTCGCCGTCCGCCGCCTCCCGCCGGCGATCGCGTTGCCCATCGATCGATCAAAAGCTTAGCTGCCTCACTCAGCTGGCTGCTGCTGCTTCGCCGACGAGCTCGAATTCGAGTAGTTGACGTGAGCTCGCGAGGCAAGAGGAAGAGGAGAGAAGAGCATATAAAGGGAGGCACACGCATGTGATGTGGCAAAGTCAAATCTCACGTCTAATTGTTAAATTATTCCCAATTTTCAAATTACTCGTCGCTAATTTTATGCTAAGTTAAAACAGTTGTTTTTAAAACGTTAATAATTTAAAATTTTGTGTGGTTTAATAATATTTGAATATTATATATTTATTACGAGAGCGTGAATCTAAAAAGATTAACCTTATAATGTTGTTGGCTTCATCCATCATGATTCAAATACTGATACACACGAATAAAATTTAGTAAGATGTCGTTGGTTTATGTCAGGAGGCGTGGGTATAGAAGTGTGTGAGTATGTTGTTGCATGTGTAATGGTAAAAAGATAGTTAAACTATATGATTTATTTTAGAGTTAGATGGACATATGTACGGATTTCTGATTAGGAAAATCTTAAAACGCTGAGTAATTTAAAACTGAGGGACTGTACTAGTTTAATTAGTTACAGGTGATTAGAAGCATAATCTTTTCGATACCTGCATTATTCAAGGGTCCAGGCGTCGACGTGTCGTGGTAGCTAGAGATGCATGTTCTTTAATTAGTACATCGTTGTATGGGCGTGGCAAAATAATTGCATTTTGGATTTACTTGGACACTAATAATGATGTACATATCTAACTATTATCTCTATCCTAAAATGTTTGACGCCGTTGACTTTTTTAAAAATATTTGACCGTTAGTCTTATTCAAAAAATTTAAGTAATTGTTAATTCTTTTTCTATCATTTGATTTATTGTTAAATATAATTTTATGTATATATATAGTTTTACACATATCACAAAAGTTTTTGAATAAAACGAACAGTCAAACATGTTTAAAAAAGTCAACGATGTCAAACATTTAGGAAATGAGGGAGTATATTACTAATATGTTGTACTAGTATATAGTGTGCAGTACTGTACTATAGTACATACGACGAGCAAGAGGGCCATGTGAGCTGTTTGTATATGATCGATGTTCTAGGTACGGTTTAATTCTATCATCTATAACAATGCCATGCCCTTAATTAAATGTGGTTGATCATCCATGCGTAGACTAGCTAACAAAAACAGTGATTAATTGCGCATCTAAATGTTTAATTTGTTGGTTGTTAGCTACTCTCTTTAATGTATGACGTTTATTGTCTCTTGTACATACATTTAACATTTAAAAAAAGTTAAAGTAAAGATCACAAAGCGCACCATGCTTTGACCACATCTATCTCAAAGTTCATATGCTCACCTGTTGTAATTGTTTTGCTTTGACGAAGATAGCTGAATTAATAGCGCAGAAGTGTCGAGAATGACATCAATATGCAAGTTTTGCGAGAACTTGGGTTATACTCCCTCCGTCCAAAAAAAAGTCAACCTCTAAAGTTTGAATTTTATCCCATAAAAAACCAACTTCTACCATCCAGCTACCAACCCTCGGCACATAAAACGAGAAGTTTTATTTCTTAAATACCCTTCACCTATCTATCACCATTACTATTTTTTTTAATAATGAGGACTATTTTTGGCATTTTTACTCCCCACTAAGTTTAAATTGGGATGCTAGGATTGGTCTTTTTTTTTTAACGAAGGGAGTACTTATAGCATGATGAACTAAGTGTTAACTGAGTGAACGGATTTCTAACATAAATTGGTACTTGCATAGTAGAGTAATTGTATTGTTGTTCATATATATTACTTCCTCCGTTTTATATTATAAGACTTTTTAGCATTGCCCACATTCATATATATGTTAATGAATCTAGACATATATGTGTGCCTAGATTCATTAACATCTATATAAATGTGGACAATGTTATAACCTGAAACAAAGAAATTGTTTCCGTGGGATTAGCCAACAAAAAGGGAGAATAATAGAAAACGTACGGAATATGGGTTCTATGATACAATATGCCCCAAGAAGTGTGGTTTTATGATAAAAACTGCTAAACCTATGGTTAAATTTGAGATAGATGTGCCCAAAAACTCTCGGTGTTTTACGATATTTACTGCTAATATAAATATATAGAAAATTACAAATCTTGTCTAAAATACCTTTGGTACTCCCTCCGTTTTAGGTTATAAGACGTTTTAACTTTAGTCAAAATTAAACTGTTTTAAGTTAGACTAAGTTTATAGAAAAAAGTAGTAATATTTTCAACCAAGAAAAATTTATTATGAAAATATATTCAATTATTAATTTGATGACACTAATTTAGTATTATAAATATTATAATATTTATCTATAAACTTAGTCAAAGTTAAAATAGTTTGACTTTAACCAAAGTCAAAACGTTTTATAATCTGAAACGGAGGAAGTAATAAATATCACAACAAATTAAATACATAATAATTACGCAATTTTCTTAACCATGTGAATGCAACCAGATATATAAAAATTTTAGTAACATCATACATTAAAAACTAAAACCCAGAGAGAGTACTAGTACTACATCCTTCTAGACGGGGCAACGGGCAAGCTACAAGTGAGAAGGGGCGTGCGTAGACGGCAACGGAACAGAGATAGAACTGCGAGTGCGTGTCGTTGTTAATTTTTGGCGGTGTCCGGTGAGAACAGGGAAAAATAAAAGTGTGGCTAGCTCTCCATTTCCGTTAAATATCTCTTTCATTAGTCCTAAATTCTTGGCTTGGTTCAAGAAAAATGTTGAGAATTAGCTTTGGCTGTAGTACATACGATCGAGCTGAGTTACCCTCGGTGTCAGGTTACCTCATGGCCGGCCATCCAGCGTGGATTCTGGAGATCTTTTGAGAAGAATTCTGTGAAATGTCAGTCGATTTCAATTTCATGTCGGTTATGAGAGAACCTTCTGTGTCGATCGATATGATTCCAAGCGTTTTACCGCGGGATATATGTGATCGATAAATGCTGATCTCTGTCAGGTAAATTCCATACGTGAAGAGGACAAGAGGCAGCTAGTTAGTGTAGCCTTTTCTTCAGCATGTCCAAATTAAACTAATCGTCGTCTCTTTGTCAGCACGTACAGTACAGTATAGTAAAGTTTGTGCTTTAGCTAACTAGCTGATGACTAGTCCGTACAAATGGCAATTAATATTATTTTTGCAAGCTAGTCCCCTTTCATCTAAAAAAATCAAATTCTAGTTATAAATCTAAACAACTATATTTAGATTCGTAGATAGAAGTTAAATTTATTTTGAGATGGAGGTGTACTAGCCAGTAATTGTGTAATGGTAGTGCTAATTACAGTGTGTAAGTAGAATTAATGAACCGATCGAGTAGTCGTGTGATGTATATATACTCCCTCCTTCCAAAATAAACTTAAGTTCATGATAGGATGTGACTTTATGTTTAGATTCGTTTATGTTGGGACGAACGATCAACGGTAGTACAGATAGTACTGTCCTAATGTCCATGCTCAGTTGCTCACAATTCATTCACACCTGCGCTGCGATGGTTAGTACCTTTAACTTGTAGCGTAGGACGTAGGTGCATACGTAAGGCTGACGTGTGGGTGACAGAAGTTGGTCATGGGGGTGAGCGAGTGATCTATCGATCTGTCGACGAACGACGACATTAAATATTTTGTCTCGATGTCCACCATGGTCGATGGAGACGACTATCATATATACTACAGTGATCATATATAGGCCATGCCATGTCGTTCTCTGGTGATAGATGCACGAGGCAAAACTAAAGACGAAGAAGAAGAAACAGCAGCAGCAGCAGCTAATTAAAGAAGAAGACTACATGCTGACGCTGCAGGCAGATATGCCGCGAGTCACGGGAAGAAGACGATAAAAGGGGAAGACAGTAGGAAGGCCTCCCGGGTTTGTCGTACGTCTCATTTCTGACCCATTACTGATATGGAGTATATACGTATACGTTTGTGTTCTAAAATATACCACTCTAAACATGCGTTTGGTTGAAGAAATGATATGAATAGGGTTGAGTCGAACTCAATTTTAAAGGTGTTTGGTTTGAGAATGAATGGGATAGGAATAGCATGATCCTCTAGAGGAATACTCCTCTTAGATCTGGGTCCAAGCCACTCGAGAAAATCTGGCGAACGAGCTCGACCTACCGGGGTTGAGCGCACGGCGTGAGCCGTACCGTTCTTCCACCGCTCAAGCTCCCACGCCGTCCATCCGCATCGCGCCGCGCCGCTCCTTGCTCGCTGGCCGTTGCCCATCTGGTCATGATCCAGCTCCTCCGCTGGCAGATCTTCTCCTCCACTCCACCTGTTGGATTCCGTCACTACTTTGTTTTTGTTCGGCAGCTGGTTGTCATCAACTTCCTCTCCGTCTCTAGTCGATTGCTGGCGTGGGCTTCCGCTACAATCCAGTCGCCATATATCGAGCTCCTCCAGCAGTTGCTTGTCTCCTCCACCCGTTCCTTCACCCGCCAGATTACATCGCTCCGCCCATTAGCTGGTTGCTGTATGTCGGGCTCTACCACACTGTCGGAACTGGATATGGACTTAGCTGCAAACATTACCCATCTTCTACCAAACAAAATGATTGGATCATTCCATCCTATAAACAAAACAGGAATCTTGGTTCTTAAACCAAACACACATTAAGGTCCCCTTTGGTTTGGAGAGTAAAAATATGAATTTCAGAAGATTTTCATCCTATAGGAAAAATTCCTATGAATACTTTTGAATCAAAGGATTGAATCATATCCAATCCTTTAAAATCCCAATGAAATGGACAATCCTATAGAGATTTTGAAGAAAACTTAGCAAGAGCTCAAAGCTCTTGGAAAATTTCCTTTGAGTCTATCTCTCTCATCCAATTCCTGTGTTTTTTCTATGGTCTAATCAAATGTTCATTCCTGTGTTTTTCCTATGTTCTACAATCCTCTATTTTAAATTTTCATTCATGTTAGAATCATGTATTTTTTCTATTCCTATCTATTTTCATTCCTACGATTTAAAGGGGCTCTAAGATTGGAGGAACGTTTCTATTTAGATTTTAGATTAATATATTTTGGGATGGAGATACTAACTAGTATCAATGCTAGATTAAATTAACTAGGAGTGAGATGAATAATAATTGAATACTACTTCTATGATCGATTGATATGGATGTGTGGTTTAGCTAGGGAGGCGAGAGCGAGGTACGGT